ATGGTCTTCAAAGTAATCGAAAAGTTTGACCCACAAGTACCCATTCCCAGTAATTTCTTCATTTGCACTTTAGTCACGATTTGTGAAGACGCTTTTGGATGTTTTATGACAACCACACCCCTGATGTGTTGGGGTACCGAAAATAGTTGATACCAGATCCAAGTCCTCGAGCAACCACAAACTACAACAAGCGTATACGCACCACCTCACCATATCTTTAAACCACCAGAGAAATAATCGCACGTGGTGGTTTTATTTATTTGACAGCCGCAACAAATAAGCCAACGGTGTCTACGCAACCGGCCCACCCGATCCTGAGCAGCTGATGAAAAGATTGCTTACACTGTAATACCATATTTGTATAATTCGTAATCGCTTCATTTTGACCTCTGGCCAGCCGGCTTGAACTCCTGAAGGCAATACCGCAGCACCCCTGACAGTATTACCGCAAGAATTAAAAAGTTAAAAGTGAAATATAAACCCCCAATGAATCCCAAATTAATTCCCCTAATTCAATAGTGATAAATTATCTATCCATTCACAGCAAGTCCCAACATGTAAAATGGCGACGAATAGAAATCACATTGACACTGGAGGTACAAGTAACAAAAAAACTCTTACTCTTACTGATGAAAACGTTGACGTAGAAAGAAACCTCTATTCCAAACGCTTCAACCATTATCCCTAATACAAAACGAACAGAAAAATACAACCCGAGCTACGTGACTCGGTAATTAACTAATTAAACGCTTGAAGAGCTTAGCACAACGACTTGAAACCAGGTTCATAATCGAGTGTGCTAATAAAATATCATGTATCGATAGGTGACTACAATGAATTACTAACAAATGACATTTAACTTGTACAAGAAAAAAAATTGACGTTGGTGTAACCCTTGAAGAGGAACTATCCAATAATGATGTACTTGCTTAATTTCAAAATTAATAACATTCTAATTGACTAATTCTTTATCTCCCTTCCCAGGGTTGTTATATCAGGTTAGCTTAGATTACAGGTTGACATTGCATTCGTATACAAATTACACTAAACTGTCAGTCGCAATCGTGAAATTAACACTTGAAATTCAAACTTGAAATCCAAAACTTGAACCCTAAAAAGAATTAACATGTAACACCTCTTTGAACATAACAATTAGCATACTTCTAATTAAAGAAAATAATATTTCAGCAACGAGTGAATTAAATCGGGTCAAAACTTATATAAAGCGAAGAGAATTCTAAAAAAATTACGAGATAATGAACAATTCAGCAAATGGCGGCCACTTACGTATTGAATGAATCCAATTTCATTGCCTCCAAAAATATAAGCAAATGTAGAAAATCGGTCAAACACCAATTCGAGAATTCCACAAAATATAGGTTAAACACCACAATTATATTTTAAAATTTACGTGGACTTCAATAATATACTCCACTTACGTTTTGCCGTACCAACGTGTTCGTAAAGAAAAATGAAAGCGGAAAAAGGTACTAACGAGCACATTCCAAACTCGGCTCAAGAACTATAGAATTTAGAAAAGTACAGCGGTCCGCGAACAAAAATGAAATGCAATATTTATTTATTTATTTCTTTATTTATTTTGGAGAACTCAAAAAGAGGTAATTGAGAAACTATTGCAATTTAAAGAATTGTAGATCTATGAACTCACCTGAAAGGATTTTTTGTTTTTTAAAAAAATGCAGGGCTAACTGCGTAACTAGCAAAACGGATTTTTCCTGTTATTTCTGTTCACGAAAACGGAATTCTAAAATTGGGCTTCGTTCACGAATTATCGCGGTGAAAAGCTGGATTTCATCAAGGGATCTTCTTCAAATATGACCATTTAGCTTCGCATAATACACTAGATACTATGTAAAAATTTACTTTTTAGCTCGTCTCCATCAGCATCCTAACTGTACTCCTTTTTATCCAATCTTGAACTTTATCCTGACTAAAGCGAGCTTTCGAAACCTGTTATTTAAATCCTTTCGAACAATTATCAATGTCCTTGAAATCCTATTGAACAATTATCAATATATCCTTGGATTATTACTAATGAAAAGGTTCTATTTTTCATAAGTACAGAGTGTCCTATTAATAATGGTCACAGCTCATTTGTATGGCACAGTTTAGGCAAAACGATTGTGTAAACAAAAGGAGCCAATAGAAAAGGCTGGAAATCATTTTCAATTTTCTAGATTAGCCGCTAGAGGGCGTACGATTCATGGTTAACTAGAGACAGGAGACTAGAGGCAGTCATTGGGACGCTGAGTTTAGGACGCAGACATTGGAACGCGGACATTAGGATCAGAATATCCCAATGTCTACGTCCTAATGTCTGCGTCCGAATGTCTGCGTTCTAATTTCTTGCGTCCCAATACCTTAGCGCCATAACTACCAATCCGGCTTTTCAATAAGAAATTCTCATGAGTGTTACAAATGAGTTGTGCCAAAATAAAACCAGTTAATAAAGAGGACCAAAACAGACCTGTTTTTCAAATAAGCCAAGGAGCGCAATTAAATGTTTCGTTTGGAAACTACGCTTAAAAATCTCTCTAAAACTTTATTCCTTTTTATTTTTTTCCTAATAAAAAGAGTCAATAAGGATGGACGTTATATTAAATTATGCCATTTCCGCTTTGTCAAAATTTTTAGAAAATTCGTGGCTCCCGATAGTGAACCTCTAAACGGGGGCGAGAAAAATATTTTTACAAAATCAGAAAGAGCACACCTAATGTCCTGTCCAAAGACGTGACATACTTATTAATTTTTTATTTTGCCTTTATTTTTGAGTGAGCGGGGTTTCATCCAAGGCTGTTCTACCAACCCAACCCACTATACATTTACAAATGATGCGTCTTATGGTTCTCGAGACAAAAATTTGAAGAATAGCAATTTTAACGAAAAATGACTCCAATGTAGCACCCTGTATAGCCTTGTGTAATGGGAATATTCGTCACGTAATTGCTTTAAAAATTTAAAATCCAAGATTTGCTTGTGTTTAATAACGGGGTTGGTTTTCTGGAAATAACGGTGCAGGGAAAGATACGATTGAAAACTGACAAAAAGGTAATACAAATTGGATAATATCACAAAGTTAAAAAAAAACGGATTCCAAACAAATCTGAAACGTATGACTTCCCCCGTCAATGTTTACATCCGCGCCCTTGGGAAAAACACGAAATGTGAAAAAATCCAGAGAAATACGAAAAGAATTCAGAAAATTTAAGAAAACCCTAAAGAATTTCACCAGTGCACACAAAAAATTAATATATAACCCCGATTATCCGTGCGCGGGTTTTCCTGGCAGTGGATTATCCGTGCCGTGATTTCCCTTAATTGAAATTACATTTTTGAAGTTTCATTTTAAATTTGCGCAGCATCAGAATATTAAAACTGATCCAAACTTTTCACACGGACTAAAGTGACTGACTTTTTTTCAAAAAAATTCGTTTTTTTCGCAAAGTTTATTTATTAGTGTAAACATTTTACTTTGGATACTTAAAGGGTAAATTTTCTTGTATAAAAATTCTCTATCCTTTTTAGTACATACATATGAGACACGTATAGGTACAACAAGTTCATAAGTAAGAAATAAATATTAATTTGGATTATCCGTGTGCTTTTCAATTATCCGTGCTTAGTTCGGTCCCGTGGAGGCTGGAGCACGGATAATCGGGGTTCTACTGTAATTTCCTCTCAGTGCCTATTTGCGCTAGTCCAGTTAAAAGATGACCAAGACAACACAGAAAACGGTACATGTGGCTAATTTGACAAACCCTTCCGTTACTAATGAATCATCATTTGAGTTCAGTTGATTTGTGTGTTTTTTTAAAGGCTAAATACCTACCCAGATCTTGAGGAATTCTCTTTGATTCATTCTGTAAACTTTTACTCAATGGTCTAACTGTTTCTGGTTTACTAATTTCGCACAATAAATCTCAGAATCTGTTCCATCTGGTGAGGCTGCTGACATTGCGGCTTATGAAGTTATAGTAAGCGTGAAACATGAGAGAATTTGTAATGCCTTTAAAAAAAGCGTAACATCCCGTGTCAATTGTTTAACGAACAAGCGCTTTAGTTAGTTGAAGTGACATTGTCACGCATGCCTCCACTTCGAATGAAAAGCTCATTAAAGCAAAAGCGTTAGTTCTATTGATGTCTAAATTAGATCAAAGATTTCAGCTCGAAGCGCTATAGGATCCATAAAATCGCTTTTAATTTAAATACTTTGGATGTTGGCCATAAAAAAGTTGGGACAAACTACGGCGAGCGAAATTATCTCGGTTAAATAATAACTGCCTTTGTTTATTTAGGCACGTAATTGTTTTTGCAAGTACCGTGACTAGAGAATGTTCATAAAACTATGTAGATGTCAAGTGATGTTATTTCTAAATGTCTCAAGATGTTAACACCTTCGGACGGATCACAAATGTCGCTTCTTGAAAACTGTTATACGTTCCTGGGCGTAACGTCGGCACCTTTTCGACACCAGATGCTAGAACTGATCCACAAACTCATTTAGTATTCTTTGATATTTAATATTTAAAAAAAATTCTTTATGAATTAACTAAAGATGTGACAGGAATAAACGTCGGAATACTAATTTTAGATTCATTAGGAACCACATTTGCTACTAATTTTGCGAGCAATGCGCAATTATATTATCTAAGCGTTCCATCAATCAAAGTATGCAAATAATACGAATTTTATATTATTTACAGGTAAAATTATACAATTATGTATTAAGTACATTCTAGGTACATTGTCAATAATATTTGGCCTATTTAAGTCATTATAATATACAAATGCCTTTCTACAATTTTATTGTAGGAACAACTGCCCGCTTTTGTAATTGTTCATAAAATTGTACAACGTTGTTTACTGACGATCTAATGGGGATTTCTATTTTAATTCGTCGATTTGCAATCGACAATGGTCAAAGTATCCTGAGTCCACTCTTAGCACTAAACAGCATCCTAGTCGTAACTGGTCAATTTTCAAGATCCCAAATTATGGCCGTGGTTAGTTAAGTGAAAATATGGTGTGTAACTTCCAGATGTCGCCGCCTGTAACGGGTAAACGCCGCCGTAAGGTACGTGATGGGAGTAGAGTAAGCCGGAATGGGAATGGTGACCTGGGAAGCCGGGAAAACTGCTACCCGACGTAACACTAGGCGGAGGTACTGTTGGTGAGTTCACGTCCATTCCGGGATTTTGTTTTTTCCACTTCGTCCTTCTGTTTTGAAACCATATTTTGACTTGAGTTTCAGTGAGACTTAAACTTAAAGCCAAATTCAGTCTTTCGCAAACACTAAGGTACCGTGTCGTCTTAAATTTATTTTCTAAAGCTACAAGTTGTTCGTAAGTGAACGCAGTTCGCGCCCTCCTCGGTTTTCCAGCACTTTGTGATTTCGAGTCGCCTTTTTTCTTCTTCGAATTGGGATCTTTGATGTCTTCGCTGATATCGCTTTGGATTTCGTCGTCATCGTCGGAGTGATGTTCTTTGCCTGAAACAAGAAACTTCTTTAGTCATATGTCGTACCAGATGATCACAAACTAGTATACCCTAAAACATATACCTATGAATATATATATAGTTACTACTAACAGTACAGGACCAATTTTTGAGTGCCAACCACTAAAATAAAGTAACATCAGATACATGAGTCCGTAATTAAAAGTGTGAAACTTGAAACTGTAAATAGTTGCAACCTAGTCTAAATCTAACCAAAATAATCGCCAATCTTTCAATAATGATAAATCCTCATAGTTTTTAGATGAATTAGTTATTTTGGGTGATGTCGAAATATAGTTTTATATGAAAATTCGCAGCCCCGACGAACTTCCTCGCCTTTGGGAAATCCCACTGTTTCCCGTTCCCGTATCCAGTTACCGATAAAATCCCGATCCTGGCAAATTCCCTTTTTTCCCGTTGCCCATAAAATCCCGTTGAAATTTCAGGAAGTGTTTTACTATATCGGAAACCATCCATTTCCCAAAATTTCATCAGAATCGCATGAACGGTTTAGTCAGACATACAAACATTTCATTATTATGTGTTAGTAATGGCGCCTTCTATTAGGTATATTGAAATTGAAAGGGACGGAAAAATAGAAAAATTGTTTACGTCTTTCCGTACAATTTTTTTGGAAATTATCTTTTATACAAGCCTTGTCCTGATATAATAACAAACACTATAAAAAAAGAATTATCTAATTTGGTGCAGTATTTCTAAAGTACATACATTTCGGCATTTATATAGATGAAGAGAGTGTGTATGTTCTAACTTATTCTGTGGTACACAGTGTGGTTTTCGAGGACAGCGAGACACTACGATTGGATCAAAACTCTGTTTGGAGTTAAACAAGGTTCAGTATTAGGTACTTTGTTTTTCATCATTTTTGGAAATGCCCTAAAACACTGTAACGATGATAGTGAATGAAATTTTGCTATTCGCAGATGATATGGTAAATTCAAACTGAAGAAGGGCTATTCTGTTTTAAGTGGTATTGTCTAAATCAATTTTACTGAAATTCAATAAAACACGAGATATACTTATAAGTATAACCTTTTCACTGCGCGAACGTCAGTCGTTTACTATCAAACCGTTTGTTATGTTTTCAGGTGTGTATAGGGATGTAAAACTCAGATCGAATGCGCATGACTTTCAAGAAAACAAATTAACTCAAATTGTGCCATCGTTCTAAGAAATTTACTTTTATTTGAAGTGTCTACACTCTACCGTTGAGTGACTCTACAGAAAAAATTTCATTTAATTATTTTAACAAATAAAAAAAACCGACTGCGCATGCGCAAAACAAATTTTTTGAAGCGGCATTAATTTTACTTTTATTCGAGGTGTTCATTTCACACACTGATAAATAATAACTTCAGTTATACTCCAAGAGAACAAAAGGTCTCTTCGCTGGCAACTAATCCTTGATACCGTTGCTAACAGATGTAGTAGAGTTTTCTGCTTCTATCGCTTATGCTTAAATGACGCTGATTACGAGTGTGCAATAGAAGCCCTATATTGATCAAGTACAGTATATGTAACGGTTACGTGCTTTCATTCTTTTTAAAGAATATGCATGTATTAGGTATATGTTAGCCATCCGTATTTTAAGTTACAAGGGTAAGTTAATTTAAAACTCCAACTCCGAAGGTAAATTGGGAAAACTCAAATCCCGCTCGTAACATGGTATTTTTATATGCGTCGTTTTACCCATTCTGGACGTACCGTTTCTACGATACCATACCCTGAGCTCTATAAGAACAGGTTTCGCAATGAAATTCAGCCATTCCCTTTCACTATCAAACCTGCACCTGCGTCAGGACTCAGGTTGCGAAAAATTTGCATTTTGTCTTAAAAAGAGGGGCTATTGCTCCGCAGGGAAGATTTGACATCTACTTTCGGTTTCGGTGGTACAAAAGAAGCTAAAACGTGTAGGTATACTCCGAAGACTGTCGACCAATCGTAGCGTAGCTCCTCGTCTTTTTACGCATAGCGGGGCTCAATATCCGAGAACTTTGCATTAGAACCAAAACGTGAAGCGTCAGCGCAGCGAAACAGATTCCCATCTACATGGACAGCGTCTGCGCAAAGAAAGTGGAAGTAATGTCATTGTTTAAATTTAAACAATGGTAATGTGCAGTTTAATTTCCTTGCGCAGTTAATTTTGAATGCATTTCGTTATAGTATACGTTAATCGCATTCTTTTTGAGTGATCCTAATTGTTTAGGAATGTTTTGTAAGAAAGTAATAATTTTGCGTTGTAGTAAAAATCGAGGTAAAAATATCGCAGTACCAGCGTTGTCAATGACATAAAATATTGTCAGTTTAAATATTGTTTGCTTTGAAGGCCACGACCGAAGTTGGTTAAGTACGGAGGATCACCGTAATCGCAGTTTGTCATTTACCATTATTTGTACAGGGTGTGCTATTAATAAAGATTATATGCCATGTTTATGGAACCGTTAATTACACAGCCTGGGGAAAAGGATTTTGTTAGCCAAAAACTTTCTAGGTTTGCCGCTAGAGGGAGTACGATTCATGATTATGTAGAAAAATATTTTTTTCCCTAAAATATATCCAACAAAAAATACTTGACTCGCAATCTTGTATGAATTTTGCATCATTTTGACGCGGCACATATTGCTCTAACTCATAAAATGTGAGGGGCGAGGGAAGGTGGAATCGCATTGAAGGAATAGAATGTACCTTTGGTTTTGTTTAGGTTAACCGATTTTCGCATAATTGGTCTTATGGAAGGAGCTCTCTTGTTGTAACCAGATTTTACATGAATAGTCTTTTTAGTAAGTGTGATGAATAGTAGAAGGCGCTGTTTGATATTAACACAAAGTAACATAAAACATAAACAAGTTAAAAAGTAATCGTAAACGATTTACATAAAGCGCATTTCCACTTGCATTCATTTCCCATTTGTAAGATGCAACTTCTGTTAAAATCGTAAAAATCGGCCACAAATATGAAAGATAGCGTTGCACATGGGCAATCCATTGTTGACGTGCTACTTCAATTTCAGTTTATGAGAGAATTTCATTTCAATGCTTTTCTAAATAAGAAAGTTGGAACTGCGCATGCGCAAACTTAAATTTTAAAACTAATGTTAGATTTTCCTTTGTTCCAAGCGCCTAAGTATCAAATTTCACTTAAATAGTTCCATAGATAAAAAAGTTGCCACTGCGCATTCGCAAAATAAAATTTTGAAACTAGCGCTAGATTTTCCTTTATTCCAAGTGCCTATGTATCACATTTCATTTAAATTCTTCCATAAATAAAAA